TGGTGGGGAAAAAGAAGCAACCATATAAGGCAACAAAACCAGACTAAAAAGAATGCATTTTGGTGAGTTGGGCAGACATCTGTTCTTACCACACAAGGCTTGGCAACTTTCAAATTAGGGGAACCTCAGATTACCCTTTCAGCTAGGAAGTAACACACAAAGCAAGGTTCCTCACACGCAAGTCAAGATCAAATTTCTTTATACTTACCTGTCTGCTTTCAAAAGCAGGTTAGATGGCAGTTCAAGGAGCTGGTTGTGTTGCACATCCAGGACCTCCACTTGCGTTCGTTCGAACCGATCTGGTAGCTTTCCCAACATGTTATGTCCTGCCAGCAGCTTACGCAAGCTACTACTGTAAAACAACCTTAGAGAAATAAAAAACACCAAAAATGAGAAAAATCTAAACCGAAGAGTTGCTTTGAGAATTTAGGTGTAATATCACACTTCATTACAAGAAAGTGATTCAGCCAACTGATTAGCAGACATGGTATTAATTACGCACAGATCCAAGAATGTCTTCCCACTCTCCACCAACTTCTTAAAAAGGTTGTTCAGAGACAGGGAAGGAGGTTTAAGGATGATTCAGGAGTGAAAGTAGTGAGAAAGGGTTATCTTATTGCACTGTATAAAACATGAATATAGAAGCACGACAGTGAAGGAGGTAATTGCTAACAATGGCTGCAGAAAACTGCACTTGTGGGATCCCCCTAGCTAATGGAAGAACTTCAGGAGTGTGGGTGAAATCACCAGTCACCCCACAAGCTTCATAGTCCTCTATTCATCATGTGCTGACTCATAATCCAATGCAATTCCCCACCCCCCCATTTTCCTTTTCTGTTAATACCAGACTAACATAAAGCCTCCTTTCCAGTTCTACCGCGAATGAAATTTATCTAATCGGCTTTACTTTCTTGAGCTTTTACAAGCGATAGATGACCTGGAGTCCCATCCCCCTGCTCCATTTTTTGGGGGGCTGGGAGAGAAGGGGAGGGGGAGAAGAGGGCAACATAAAGAGACAAGAACAAACAGCTGTTTTGATTAAATAGTAAAGCTAAAATTTGCAGGATAAACAACGTAATAAGGAGTTTAAAATCGGCACCTAAAGACCTCAAAAATGGAGCAACTCTCGATTTTGAACGGCAACCACTTTCAGCAAATTAAGAAAAAAAGATTATTCTTCATCTGCCACCTGTCTTACATTCCCACTACCGTACTGTTTAATCTGGCAAGCCTGTGCATCATGCTGACCTGTTTCAATCAAAAACTCTTAAATTACTCAGCATTAAAGCAAAAATCTTCCCTCTGTTACAATGACCCAAATACACATAAAAAGCCTCCCCCCACCCCCCTTCCCTACAATATATCAGGTCATCGGATTATTGTGCCAAAATAATCAATGAAGTATGCTGAGTATTTTCCCCTTGACAGATACAGTCATACTCCGTATCTGCGCGCCAGTGTTAACAGTTATCTCAGTTGGCTGGATCGTCCGCGTTATGACCATGGATACAAGTCAACAACCAGCTATATTATTCCAGAAGACTCAACACAGGGTGAAGAGACTTATCATACAGTGATAAGCATATCTATTACATTTTCATCATTTAACCATTTTTGTTTCACTCCACTTTTACTTGAAAATCTCTCTCAGTTACGGATTTGCCTTTCTATTCTATTTCCTTTCCTAATGAAGATTGGCCAGCATCATCAACACCAAACATTACAGGAAAAAGCAAAATTGGTTACCAATGTCTCAAAAAAAATTTATCACTTTGGGGTTTTTTTTTGGATGGGTAGGAGCAGTGCCATTTTAAAATAAAATAAGTTCAAATCATGGCAAAAACCTTAGCAATTACCTTTTCCATGAAAATACATTTTATAAATAATTTAGAAGAACTGAGTAAGTCTTTGGGATTTTGTTTGTTCTCTCTTATTTTCCGAGTTACACAAGCACCAAAGGAACTGGGCTGCCTGAAGAGCGATTGAACCACCAGCATTTAACTAAGCAAGCTCCTGATGAGCCTGGGACACCTAGTTCTCAAGCTGGGTGGGGAACCAGGATGCTGGGACTGCTCTTCCCTGTGGGCAGCTTTCCCACTTGCCCAACTCCCACTGGAAGTTTTGATGGGATCAAAAAGTTCTAAGGACAAGCACGCATCTTCTGAGAAAACATCGTTTGGTAAAAGCATTCAACCAATTCCTTTAGTAAGCAACTGTTCAAGAGAACACAATGCTGAATACAAATAGATCTTTTAAAAAAAACAGACAAAAAGGAACAAAAATACAGACAGACATCTTGTTCACTGGTGGCAGCAAGGACATTTTGGCAACTCTTAATTGAAGCATTTCCATTTTCTTTGGGGAATCTTTGGAAACGTCAGTTTTAGGACAATGAATTTGTTCTGCATAGCTAAGACTAAGTACCCTTTTTGTTATTTTTCAGTACTTTTAAAGCAGAAATGGCTGCATTACAGCCCAGCGTACATTGTTCCCATTTTCTTTAATTGAGACAAACATCAGTACACAGTCCTCTATCTCAACTGCTTCAACTCTTTGTCTTCAAGGATTGTTTTTCTGTTTCAAGAGGCAAACGCCCATAGCATCAACTGTAGTTTGTTTAGATTAGGTGCAACCTTCAGGATTCCAGGAAACTGCTGGTCAGCCAAGGCTCGAACATTTGTGGTTAGAGTTGCAAGCATCCTCCTAGAGAGTCCTGCTCACTCACTTCACAGGTTTTCAGAGTGCTAGTCGGTGTAGAAGGAAAAGCACACAGCAGTGCACATGAACCCGCTTACTGGGCACTAGTATTTAACTGATACTTAACAGTAGGTCTATACGCCTGATCCATTTGCATTTGAACCTAGACCCAGATTTCCCTAAAGTTTAACAGAGGTTCAAAGCCTGTGTTTTGATCTGGGCCTTAAAGCTGAGCTGACTTATTAGGAGCTAAGCTATCTAGACACATACTACAAAGAAGAGCTTTCAAAGATAAGCTATTTCCTGGGGTTAATGATAAGATGGGAGGAGAGACAAGTGGGATGTTGACTGTACCTAATTTCAGCTAATCATTAATCTCTCAAAGATATCCGGTATGCCTTGATACTCCTTGCTGTTATGAAGTGCAAATGAAAGGCAAATGCACTTTTGCTCCCCCCACCTTCTGAGTAGGCGCAGTTTCACTTTGTGTGAAAAAACAGAGGGATTAATAATCTGCATGTTAGCCCATTAGTTTGCTCGGTAAATCTCCTCACACCCTTTTCTGCCCACATTTCTGAAATCTATTCTCTTTCCATTTATGACACTAAAACTGCCAGTTTACACCATATGGCACATTCATCTGACCCAGACAAAACTATCCTTTTTGGTTTCTGATGCTCCTCTGTGCTGTACAGCTCTGTAAGGACAGTATTTAATAGCTCATCATATACTAGCTGTCTACAATCTTCAATGGCTCTGCACATCCCCACGCAATTTCACCCTTTGCGCCCAGTATGTTCTCCCTTTCACAACATCTCTTTTAAAGCGTACAGAGCAGCCAAGAATTACAGCTCTCTTCCAGTGAAGCCAGGGACTTAAAAATTCTCAATACCAGCACCTGACCAGGATACTCACTTGGAACAGGTCTCTCTAGAAAAAACTTAAGAGGCATTCATTATTTAAACTCAACTCCTATTTTCCTTCCTGTTTACTTGCTTTCCTATCATTTGTATTTATCAATTTTAAGTTTAGACTCCTGGAAAAGAGATCATCTTTGTAGCGAAGGCAATTGCTCTACTTGCTTGATGAGGCTTAACCTTCTCCTCTCAGCCCTTTTTCACTCAAACAGGGCTGTGAACGGGAGTCTCTAGGCACCACTGAAACTAAGTTACGAGTTGTGGATCTCTAAACTGTCATGCAAAGTTATGGCTGTAAATATTTAATATTCAGTATTAAAAATGAAGGGCTTTCCTGCCTGAACAGCCACATGAACAACTTCAAAACTTCCACCTGGAGTTCAAAGGCATTGCTTTCTCTGCATGAAAGTAAAAGAAGAAAGGCTGGGTGGAAGCTTGAGGCATGACGACACCCCACAAGGTAAAAATAAAATCAAACAAAAGATAAAACGGGCCTGACAGTCACTGGAACAAGCCAAACACTGAATCAGCAATTATTTCTGAATTGCTTATCCTGTTCCACATTGTGCAACTGGTCTGCAAGACTCACCGGGCAGGCAGCTCACGTATCTGGTTGTGGCCAACATCCAACACTTCCAGTTTCCTGCTGTCACATACCCACTCAGGCAGGTTTTCCAAGTGATTTCTATGAATAAACAACACAAAGAGGTATAACTAAATGATAACTGAGATGTAAGACTATTAAAAATACAGCCTCAAGAGAGATACAGATACCTGCAGGACATAAATCTGCTACGTGGTAAGTTTACTATGAGATTGTATCACCCCTCCTTCTCTAAGGGCACTACTAGTGCAGTAAGGTCTGGAGTGAGGGGGCAAGAAAGCTAACAGCATTATTACCTCTCTAGATGTGCAGCCACTAAGAAAATGGAAAAAGCTGCTTCCAAATTATCGGGGAAGAAAAGTATTAAGAGTATCAGAATATCGAGGATGAAGAAGTCTCTCTATGGAGAAGAAAATTTGTGAGATACTCTTCAGAAAATATTCACACCCTACACAGTTGAAACACACCTCTTCGGTCCCTCATAAATTCAATCCTGAAACCCACTCTACCACTCTTCAGCTATCTCACTGAATAGGGCAAAATCTTTTTTTGTGTATCTTTAAAGTCAAGCATTTTGCTTTTCTTGCATCTGTCTTCACAGAAACTAACCCTTAAAAAAATTGGGTTCTTTGAGGTAAGTTTTTCCAAATATTGCACTGAAAACATGCAGCTAGGCACAGTGAGGCACCCACATATCCTGCCTTAAAGACAAAAATTAGCAGCACAAAATACATGGAGGAGATTGTGTGCATGTGCATTCACATAATCACTACTTCAGCTAGCATACACAGATGCAAAACTGGGCATCAAATAATATTCAGGCACTCACAGACTTGAAGTTCAGGAATAGGACCCTTACACAGCATGAACATAAATCAATGTTCATGAGCATTCATGTACTTGTATCCTATAGTTTATTCATGCAATAGCCTTTAACCAAAATACGTGATAGCAAACCAACCCCTCTTATCCTTCCTTTTCAATCTCAAACAGATTTCCCAAATTCCAAGCAAGCCAAGAAGCTAAAGACACCCTACCCATTTAGTTACAATGTCATCACTGAACTGAGGCACAAAAAGGGTTTTGTGATAAAAAATCATGCATTCTGCACCGATTTCATTTACAGCTAAATGGAGAACACAGCTTTACAAAGAATGCTTTTCAGGAAATCACACTCATTTAGCCACACCTGTGTGTTACATTCAGGTGCACAATGGGAGTAACTCATGGTTAATGAAACTTTGAAGTTGATGGCCACTCACCCAGGTTAACTCACTAATTGTTACGATCACCCTCAACAACTTAAGAGTGCTTTAAGCAGGCTTTTTAATGAATGAGATTATCACTTCAACATGCAGATGAGTAATTCATTAATACACATGTATAAAACGTTTTCCAGATTCAGACCTTAAATTGTAAAACAAAACAAAACAACCCATTTTCCACTTCTTTCCTTATCCCACCTCCTTCGTGAAGGTGAGATTTACGGATGCATTCAAATGGCAACTGCAGACATCCCTGCAGCAGCCAGGGCTGCGGAGAACAACGAAGAACTGCAGGAGCTGCCGTACTGATGAGTAAACTATCAAGTCATCACCTACACTGGGCTTGTGACACAGACATATCCAGAAAGGAACTTCTGTACATGTCTCATATTGGTGCGCATTTGAATCATCCTGTTGTATCTGTATAAGATAGGAAATCTTTAAATCAGGGAAACTCTTTTCCTTTAACTATAAAGGCACATTTTGCTTTTAGCACTGAACAAAATAAAAAGGTAAATCTACAAAAAGCAAGCAGGGAAGAACTGGCCAGTAGAAAAAAGCCCATCCTCTAACTCTGAAAAATCAGTCTTCTCGTATCTCAAGGTCCAATTCCTGCCCCCACTCCCTCCCAGTAAAATACCAGTGAATGTCATTTTTCCATAAGCCTCACTGATGTATATTTTACAGGCCCAAGAAAAAACATACTTACCTAGAAATATCCATATAAGCAAGGCAATTAGGAACTGGATACACATCAAGGTGAACAAGTTCTAGGGGGAAAAATAAATAAAAACAGAAGTGGTGATAAAGATTTGCACTTAAATGGCTGTTCCGTAAGAGTGACTTTAAGCAGCCAACCCCGAGAGATTTCAGAACAAGTCAGTAACCTAAAAACCTTCAGAGGATCTGGACCTTTGTAAACTGAGTTTTGTTTCTTTATTGTGTCTGAGTACGTTTGCTGTATTACGTTGTACTTGCTATGACAGACACTGCATAACTGATCAGAGAGGAGAAACTGGAGGATTTTAAAAGTTTCATGGCAAATTCTCATTTTTCCATTTTTGTCCCAGAGCTGTAACTTCACCTCTGCAATCCTCTGCCCAGAATAGTCAGTCACAAACCTGCTCTACTTTTTTTTTACTGGTCACTAATGGTACAGGCACAGAAGGGAGACTCCCCACTATGGAACAGCAAGTTCCATGCAACAGAATACACCAGAGTCCTCCATGTCATGGCAAGATCCAGAGAATTTTTCAACACATTGCATTGAGTCTTTGCATCCCTGTGGAGTTGCTGGTTCAGGCAGCCTTACAGACCTTTTGTAGCATCTCAACTACTGCTAGTAATGTTATATTTTGACTGCTTCAATAATATTTCACATTCTAAGGTTTTTAGGTAGTTAGTGCTTAGCATTAAGGTTGAAGCAAAACCAGCAGACATTTATTTAAGCATACAGAAAATCCACTAAAGTGAAAACGTAACAAGCATCACGGTTCCTTTGGAAAGTGAGACTAAAACAAGGTGGCTGAGGCTGCAAAGAGAGAATAGCCAGGAGGAACAGCAAGACCAAACAGGCAATTGATTGCAAGATAGGGGTTGACTTGGGTTCTCGGCTCACATTGCACAGCACATGCTCAGATTGTTAACTTTTCTCAGCTACAAAGATCCTGGCATGAATACTTAATGAAGGCACAGGCTTGGATATCGTTAAGATGACAGCCTTTTAAAGGCAGTGCAGACTGTTCAGAAAATTCACAGCTCTTTGAGCTTGCATTTTGTTTATTCCATACCAAACTACTCCAAACAATAAAAATGGTCATGCAAACTGAGTATTTTAAGTAATAGCAGCTTCCAGAGACAGATCAAACAAATCCTATTCATGGAACACAGGAGTTATTCAACTGGAAAATGCTGTATTATTTTTATCATTGAATACAAATGAAGTTACGCATTACAGATTTTGGAGCTTTCTGGCCAGAGTAAGCAGCTAGAGGTAGTAGCAAAAATATATATTGTTTTAGTTTGTCTCACAAACGGCCACTTGTTCAAACTTTCTCAACTCTGGGGAAAAGCAATAACTTTCCTACTTGCCTTGGTAAAGCAACACATTAATACAACCCAAAGAACTGACAACCTCAAGAGCCCTCCCTGTTGACATAGAGAGGAATTTCAGCCCAAATTTTAAGATTTTCACAGTCTTGAAACCTCCAAATCAGTAGCTTGGTGTTATTTGAAAGTCACTTCTAAGCTCAGAATTGGCAGTAGCATGACATGGCACATGCGAAACCCTTTTATCCAAGGATCATGTCAAGAGCCTCCTGATTACGTGCCCTGCACTCCATAAGCACCCCACAGAGAACCAGGTATGAAAACTAGAAGTCGGATGACAATACCACAGCTGCCCTGAAAACGCACTTACCATTTGAGGAAGCGTACAGCGCTTTGAGAAAATATCCACTGATTTTGAGGGTTACCAGTTGATTCCGTTCACAGTGTAACACTTCGACATTGTTAAAAACTGTTGCATTCAGCTCCCCAAGTTTGTTGTCTCTAAGATCCAGTTGGGTCACATGATGCAGAAAATCTATTTCATCAGCCTCCAATCTCCTAATTGAATTCAATCTTGCAGACAAAAAAGGAGATTAAGTGTAGTTACGTGGCAGACTCCTGCTGACAAACCAATGCTCACTCTACAATCAGTTGTGCTGGATTAAACTAGCATGCCTCCAGGTTCTGATCAAGGTTGATTTTAAATATTTTCCCCTTTGTTATGGTATTTTAAAAGCAGGATGGATCAGCTCTGTTGTTTTATCCATCATGACAAAGGAATGATGATGCCAAGTTCCTTTCTAAACTACTTTGAAAACTACTGATAAAAAGCTCTGCAAGAACATAAGTATTACTGCTATTGTATCTATAAAAACAAGAGATGATCTGGCTGTTATTTGTGACCAATAGTTTCGAAAAGAACAAAACCTCTATAGTTTCTGCTGGCCTATCACGAGCATCTGCTGGAAAAGCCTGGCAGATACGAGTAACCTGCAGATATTGGAGTCTCTTGCCTTGTTGAAAGGCCAAATTGAGATTTATGAATTCCCATATTTGCTTCTCGCTTTGCCATGTTCCACAGCAAGCAAATTCAGAGGCCTGAAAATGGGTGTTGAAAGAAAACAAAGCAGAAACCCAAGATGAGTGGGTGTGTCAGAAAGAGAACAGGTTTTATCACATCTTCACTGCAGTGCATTGACGCTGCCAATACTCAGCAACTTCCCCAGAAGTCACAACTGAAATAAGATTATCTATAACCCAGCAATGTTTGAGATGGCAGCGCAATCCGAAGAGTTCAGTTTCAAATTCTCAGCTCTGACCAGAACACTAAAATCGGTATAGTGATTTCTGTCGGGCCACTGAGCCTCCCAAGCGAGGATGAGGGCACATACCTGCAGTTCTGCTGTTACTCTTGCTTTCACAGAGTTGCCCTCTGTGTAACAGTTGCATTTTCAGAATAGCTACATCATCCAATTAAAAGAAAATGGGTAATATGCCCCCTCCAATACCACAGCCTACTTTTTCTGTTTTCCGTTTCCAAGCAGCGCTTCCTTCTGATTTTACTGAAGCAAAGCACTTCACTGTGCCGCAAGTACAGTTTACAAACACATTCGACATTTACTATTCCAGGCAGCGTTACGAAGAACCACTGTTCGCTGCTCGGTGCAGAAAGGATGCGGCAGACAATGAGAGGGCTGGAACTGCACTGCTGGAACTCATGGCCAGCTCAGCCACAGCATCCCTACACTAAGGCCAGTTTATTTATTTGCTTTTAACATACATACAAACACAGAGACATATTTTAACCCCACCATATACACTTCAGAATTCATCCATCTATTTTAGCTGGTTTTTTAACTTATGCTGGCCCTTCCTTGATTGCAAAGTCTGACAGCTACACAGCAGTACAGTACAGTACAGTACAAACAAGCTAAGTTTTAGCTTGAAGAGCTTAATTTAACTAAATGGTTCTAAAATTCATTCTTATTTGGACCTCATGGTCCAGGCTCTGAACTGAGCATTGCTCAGCTGACTGCAGAAGCTGGCTTCCCCAAAGACCGTAAGAATAAAGAACCACCTCATACCAGAGCCATTTGTAATAAGGATCTGTTTAGACTCTGCTGAGAGCATCAATAAAATAACGTTACTCATGGTGGACTAGGCTTTTTAACATACCAAGAAATATTAAAATATCCATTTTTGTCCTCTCACCTTCACTGCCCTTTTCTTCATCTCACACATCTGTTAACGTTTCAGACAGAAGCTTTTTGAGTCAGGGACTATCATTTGTATTATATTAACACTGCCCCAACTAGAACTGCAGGAGTCACTACTGTCCCAGGCACTGTTTTGTTTTGGTATAAATATTAATTTCCCCAACCCGTTTTCCTAACTATTGCTCCCCCTAAATGCTACCTCTTCCTCAAAGAAGGGTGCTAAGTCACGGCAAGTGCTGAGAGTTACGTAACACTGCCAGAAACACGGTTCAATGGACTAACACAACAGACTCATACCCAGGGGCTATTCTGACAGCCAAAGAGAAACCGTTTCAACACCAATAATTTAGACCCACTTATTTTTCCCCTTTTTCAAATACCTACCTTAGATCCACATGTTTAATGTGAGGCATCCTTTTTAACGCCTGTAGGTTCAGGGTATCCATGCAGTTTCCTGACATACAGAGCTTATCCATGGCGGTCAGCTTCTCCAGCACCCCTGGAATGTCAGTGAACTCATTGAAGGACAGACTCACGTAGCTGAGCTGATGCATATGCTCCAGTTCATCAGGAAGGGACTGGAGAAAGTTGCCATCCAGCAAAAACGTCTGCAAGCTATTAAAGGCAGGGGAGGGGAAGGGAGAGTGAAGAAAGTGAGTGACCTATTAAATCACATTTCCTTCCTATAAACACACAAATCTGCTGCAGTTACAGTTAAATAAAATATAGAAAAGGGCAGAAGAAAGAAAAATGTTAAGGAATAACACTTTAACATCTGCTACAGAAGGTATGAATCAAATAATTAAAAGCCTTGCAACTATGAAATGCAGGCTGTGCTAGACAGTTGTATCATATCTTCAAACATCTCCAGAACTACAACTTGTGTGATGGCTGAAGTTCATAAGCAAGGTGGTTTAAAGATCATCTTCACCATGAAGGTGACCCTTGTGTCAAATACTGGGGACTGGAAGAGCTTTGAGACACAAAGGATGCTTCCCCTCCACTCGCAGCTCACAACTGTTTCCATACAGATCTACAAACCAGTCTCCTCTGACAAAACCCAGTAGGTTTAAACTGTTTCTCATAGCAAGATTATGTACAGTCATGAAACTGCCTGTTGTCTATATTATCAGTCTGTGTGCACTAAGTTTTAAGAAAATACTTGCTTGTGCATCTCGCCTACAACTGCTGGAACACTTTTGAGGGCATTGCAGGACACGTTGAGTTCAGTCAGGGTTGGAATACTGCAGACTGCCAGTGGGAAGTCTCCTAAATTATTATTGGAAAGATTAAGGCTCTTCAACTTGGTGAATCTACAATGAGATAAGATTAAAAAAAAGGGAGACATAAGTGGAGCATAAACCACACCGAATTGCCTTGCATTAATTAATACAAGGTAAGTTTGGTTATGTAAATGCAAGTCACATGCATTTTTAGTTTATGTACTCAGAACAACCAGGGAAACTACTAGACACTCAAGTTCAACACCACTTGCAAGAATTCACTCATGTTAAGCTGGCACAGAGAAACAGGCCCTCCTGAACAACACGCTAAATATATTTTCCTACGAGCGTAACAAAGAACAAACCTCTTGCCATTCTTATGATATATGTCATTTCTTCTGTGGCATCTCATCCTGTACTACAGCATTGCTATTTTGCTGAACATATTTCTTGCCAGTAAGACTACCCTAGCGACACTGGTTACAAGGCGCAGGAAATTCTCAGCCTATTTGAACACTACATTTTTGTGGTGCAGCTCAGCTCCATTCATGTGAGTAGATGCTGCCTTTCAGCCAAAAATGCTCATTAGAATAGGCTGGTTTGAATACAGCTGGGAAATCTGCTGAATTAAAGCAGAATTTAGCAAGACTTCTGTAGTGACAGAGGTAAATTCTTACACTCTCGATTAAGTACGATGTCAAAGCTCGCAGAGATTTCAAAATTTTGCCCTTGACGTTTCACAGAACTCTTAAAAGCCCCTTGGTTTATCACATCAGCCAACGAAGCAACCTGCATGTGCCTGCCTTATTAAAGACAACCAAGACTGTTTGAACAAAAAACCCAAGAAGGGGACAATCCAATTAGCCAGCCTGCATGTTCAGCAACATTATTACGGTTGCCTAACAACCACTGGGAGGTATGCCTAAAGGCAAGTAAAAGGATGAATGAAAAGATCTGTGTCAGATTCCGATAGATGGGAGGAAGTTTCTTTTCTGGCATGGTTTATGCCAGGATATTTTATTTGGACTTCATTTTCCCTTCGTTAAGGCTCAAGTCCTTTATTTGTGCGAGCAGGCTTTTATATAACACGGCGATGGAAGCAAAACTGCACCTATGAACGCTGCTGTTCCACGTGAAAGTAATCTCCAACAGCATGTACCAGTGCATCCACAGCCTCCGCATCGGCCCAGCACATTCTTATCTCAAAGCACTTTGTCCTCCCCCAACCAGAAAACACAGACAGAACACACATCAAAAAAAATTTTAAAAAGTTAAAAAGTTTTAATGGCAAAAAACTCTCAGAAATCCTCACCAGCTGAGGATGGCGGCACGCACCTTTAGTATTGCCTAAATCAAACTAATGCCACTGACTAAAACTCAACATGAAAATGTAAGTAGTGCCTTCATATCGTATTTCGATGGGGACTGTAAGTGAAGTGTAGATTTTACCCCAAAAGACAGGCTATAAATACATTTAAAGTTTACAAATACACTTAACATTTACAATGGCTTGCAGCAAGCAAGGGAATACTGTGCTCTCTATTGGTATTTTGGCGCAAAGATGGCAGAAGAAAAAAAATGGGAAAATCATGGCCAGATTTTGAACACCCTGTGCCATGCTGGAGGCAAAAGAAGTTTGGAACAGAGTTAGATGGAGACTAAATGAAATCCTGCAATCAAATTACTGCTGCAGGGAAAAAAATGCTACTGTGCAGAAACAACGACTAATGTATCTCTAAAGGGAGAACTGTAAAATAAAAAGGAGGCTAGGGTAAGCGAGCTGATGTTAATGAGGGCTGCTAGCCAGAAAAAAAAAAAATGCACATTTTAAACACTATGCCTTCTTATTCCTCTATTTTGAGAGAAAGGGCTTAAAAATCTTAAACCTAGAACCGGAACTCACAATCCTGCATTTATCTTGAAAATAACTGTAGATTTAGGCCACAGATATACTGCCTTGAAATTTGGGGTGATTCTGTGGTGGAACAGCTGTCCCGTATCTTCCTCAAAGTCAACTACAAATACAAACAAGAGTGCTTTAAGTAGCAGACTCCGGGGCCTTTAGAAACTACTTTTTTTTTTTTCAGTATTTAGGTAAGTGCAAAAATAGTAGCGAAGACAGAAAGATTAAGTCAAAATAACTAAAGCTGCTGAAGAAACATCAAAATGCAACCATTCCAATTTTCAAGTCAACCATGAAAAAAGAATTAAGTAATTTACTAATCAACAGCAAGGCTACAGCCTTTACCTGTGCCGCTCTGGAGTCTCAGAAGAACAGTTTAGTGGGCAAAAGCCCTGAGACAAGTGAAAACTACAAAAGCCCTGAGACAAGTGAAAACAGAAGACCCCACATACAATCTTGAGATGAAGTTACAGAAGATCAAGCTCATACACAGAGGAAAAAGGACTGGGACAGGGATGGTGAAGGAAGCTAAGAAATACAGTAACTAACTCCAATGCAGTGTTCAGCTTCAAAGTTTTCTGCACACATTCTTGTGTATGATTGTCCGAGGTCAAAGGAGGGGGGGAAATCAACCCCCCCCCAAATGTATCTGGATTACATCTCTACTATCCTAATGTATGCTTTAATGTGTGTTTATTAAGGGTCTTCTGTGAGTAATCTAATTACTAAGGACACGAACTGAACTGGTTATCAGGTCTCTATAGTATGTAAGGGAGGATGAGTCGTACATCCAGCTTCATACAGAAGCTGAAAATGCACATCTAAGCGTATGTCAAATAATCCACAAAGGAGAGTTCATTCTCAAATCACATTTAAAGAAAAGCTGAAAGGCAGACACCATAAGCTTAGTTAAAGGTAATAGATTAATTTAAGACAACTGGCAGGAAAGAGATATTTTCTCTTCCTTTGTAAACATGTTCGTTTACAAAATGCTGAAGTTGCATTCCTCCTCATGGAGCACTGTCACATACAGAACATTACTAAGCCAAACATTTGCTCAAATTTAAGATTTAAGTCTACCTCTCATCTATCCCACTATCCACATCGCAAATGGGTTGGTGCACTTCCATTATGGAGCACTGTCATGCTGCACATATAAAATGCTAAATTGTTTATAGTGCTTCTTATATGTAGATAGATTTACAGTCAGTAGCATCAGTAGCACTTGTAGCATCAATATAAATAAGGTAGGAGAGAAGTATTCTACAGACTCAAGTTTTCTGTTGCTGCTGAGTTTTCACAGTGTCAGGCTTTAAATAGATGTTACAGAGCAACATCTTTGCTGTTTTCTCACACCCAAATCTTTACTCCTACCAGAAGCAGGGGCACACATCGATGCTGCCCTTATGGCATTGCTGGAAGGAAGAAAAGGCAATGTTTTTCCTTCCTCTTCTCCCTCCTTCCCTGGTTCCAGACTTTGCTATCTGTTAAAAAAAAGTCAACCTGAAGACCAGCATCTCTCAACGTGCTACGTTCAGTTAGCTTACTAAGCTTTCTATCATAATGACCAATATATAAACACTTACTTCTCTGACCAAAACCAGTCCTACTTTAAGCTAGAGCAAAATGTTGACATGTCAACCCTTGAGTTTAAATGTGCAATATGACTGAACACTAATTGCCATAATTGAGCCCAAAAATGCCCACTTACTTAATCCTGAAGCTGCCACTTCAGGAGTAGTTTTAGTTTGACATACACAAAATGAGGAGAGGGACTAACGAGAAGTTTGTATCACGGCAAAGCAATGAACTGACACAGTAATTTCAAATTCAGATCTGCCTGATGTGCACAGCAGAGGAATTTCCATTACACAGTACGGCATTTGTGTTCCGCTATGTTTGGGGGTGGGAGTGGATGGGGAATAGTATATTCGAATTAGCCATACACCGTCACTGAAATGCAGCCATAACAGATTTGTCTGACAAAACCAATCTTGCCCTACTCTTACCAAAAGCAATTAAAGAGCAGCATTTTACTACACCCAAAACAGAAGACACGGCTTAATAAGAGACTCAGCTTAAGGAAAACAATCACTTTCCCAATACTATCCCCAGTATTTGGGCTCTCATGACTATGCTGTGGTTGCAGTTGAACATCATCATTTCAAGCAGCAGCACAACTGTCCCTCAGCTCCAACACCATTTCTGAGCAGATCGATGCCGTTGGAACTGAACTACAACTTGCCACCTTCATGAAGGCCTGCTACTTTAGCCACTAACTTAATAAAGAGAACTTCCATATAAACCCGACGCACCGATTTCCTCCTTGGAAATAAATGGTCCCATTTACTGCCTTTTTGCAGTTGCGTCAGATTCGCCCATCCATAGCCTTATCGCCTAAGGGAGCAGCTGGCCTAGCACCAGAAATACTGTCATAGCATTTTCCTTCCTGGAAAGGTGTCGTCGTAAAAGCCTTAAATTAGTTAGACAATTTAAATGAACTATTCCAGCCTTCTTGCCTGCTAAATTTGTCCAGACAGCTGAACAGAGGTAGGCTGTTTCTGCAACAGCTAGGGAGATTCACTTGGATGCTGCAGGTGAAGGCTTTGCCTAACTGAAGTCAATAGCAGCCCTCCCCAGCCTGGGCACAGAAGAGTTTTCAATAGATAACACAGAGAGGAGGAAGGAGGAGCTCTGCTCGTGTTTTCCACTGCGTTTCTCTGGACAAGACTCTTGTTCATCCAGACACCAAGTAGCTCACGCCATACCACACAAAAACAGATGGAGTAAAGTCATCTCAGGAAAGAGGGTCACAGTTTGAGGGCAAAGATTGATTCTGGTCAAGTCAGAAGAAACTTGAACAAATTCATCCATTAATTGTCAATTTCTCCATTGGCTGAATGAATAAATGAAAACACAGTTTTATCTGAATTTTTATTTCCTTCCTCCTTTCTTAAAACCCATGGGGGAAAAAGAAAAAGAAAGAAAGAAAAAAAGCAGACTGATAGCTGCAATTCTGGTATCTTCACTACCCTTTATGTCAGCACACCAGGAACAGTCATCCTGATATTTCTCCCCTCTGCTTGTATTTAAAACTATAAAAGACACAACAATTCTGGCATACAGACTTGAGTCTATATGGCAAAATTAATTCGTAGATTGTATTTAAAAAAAAAAAAGAAAACAG